GTTCCAGTAAATAACACACAGATGGATCTAAGAAGCTGTTTGATGTAAATAGCAGCAATGTTTTTATTGCTCACCTGGCTCTCATCAGGACTCTGAAATGCTAAGGAGGAAGGGGAAAAGACAAAAGACAAAACCAAACAGAATAGTCATGCAAGGAAGAAGCTGACACTGGCTTTTTTACTGACCCCCAAAACCATGTTTTCCGTGACAGCACTGCACTGATTCTCTTCTGTCATCACTGTCACCACGGCAATCTTATCGCACCTGGTAAAACCTCATCTCCATGACTGCTACAGGCTCCAGACTCGCACCAAGTCTTACACAGGGCCCTTAGTATTGCCAGTATTACTGTTAGTCCTACACTCCTCACTACTGCTTCCAGAGTGTAATTTATGCTGTGCCAGCTACCAAGGAACTACTTGAGATAGGATGTGAGGTGCATGTGCTCACACCACTTATCTCTGCCAGCTATTTTCCCAGTTTCAGCCAGGTTTTGAAAAGGCAGGAGTGTCCAAGATGTATACTTTCCAGTTAGTTTAATGAGTACCAAAGCCTGGGTAACATCCAGTGCCCCCTCCAAAAGCAAAACTGGGCAGTCGGCCCATCCACTTCTGGCACTACCCCGTTCAAGCACTGCTGAATCTTGCCTGTGTGAGGCACCTCTGGAGCTATCAGAGGGAAGGAGAAGAGCAAAGGATACAAACATGTAGAATTGACTAGGAATAAGTTTAATACTCACAATATAATTCTATAGATGTACCAATCAGGACGCAATTAATATTAGTTTCTTTGAACCCAGATATAAGTGGACTAAAATACTGTATTTTGTAACCTTGTGATGGTGTAGCCAGACACAGTACATAATTATTTCACATACATGTGTGAGTGATGTAACCACCATAGGGGTGACACCTCAGCAGTTGCACATGGGCTCATTCATGGCAGAAAAAAACTGAAAGACAAGAAAAGCACAAAGGACTGTAGATAGGAAGGACATCCCACCAAATATACAAGAAGGATGAATGGCAAGACAAAAAACAAGCAGTATCAGGAATAGACAAGAGCCCCTCTACTTTTGGGAATGGGACAAACAGCAGAAAGTTCCGTAACATACATTGCTGAATATATATATATAAAAAAATGTGGGCCACACCATGGCACTTCCACAAAGATTTTATGGGTATAGGAAATGAATTGAGTAATGCAAACTGCCAAGCCATCAGGTACTCTAGAGCCATTTTCAAATTCTTAGGATGAGTAAATGTGTGCTTTATCTCACATTTCAGTGGAGTCTTACAAACGCAACACACGTTGATAAATACAAGGCTGATGCCTCTTCAGACCTGACCGGGCTACCAAATAAGAGGGTGTGTTCCGCAAGCCATCTGCTTTTTCTTCTCTGAACAGAGAAAGTAAAAATGTGTATAGCTATTTGAAAACTCTTGTCTTACTAGCAACATTCCACCAAACTGCAAACATACATCCTCTTAAACACAGGTTACTTACTTTGGCTAGAACACAGCTTTTACAAGGCATAATGTTTATTAAAAGAGTTTCTAAGCTGAAAAATAGCCGTACACAATTCTAACTCATTTGAATTCCTTGGTTTTACAGGCTACAAGTGAAAAGGAGATACAAGCTCACCCCCACAGATGCCTAAATAGTAACAATTTCCAATTATTACCACAGCCAAAAATACTGCAGTGAAAAACAATCATAGATGTGGAATCACTAGCTAGCAAAAAAAAAAAAAAAAAAGATGTCACAGATGTAATAGAACAAAAAAGAAACTAAACTGTTTCATCTTAGTAGAGCAGAACCTATTATGTCCATGTCAAGCCCTTTTCTATTTCAAATTTAAAATTACTCTTGGATCTATATAATTAACCTTAGTGGTAGGAGATAAGAATACGCTACATACAATGAAAGGCATTGCCAGATGAAAAACTCCTATGGGCTCAATCCCATAGCTCACAGTTGACAGTCTTACCCCAGTCTCTATCTTAAGGGTAGAATAAAAGAATCTAGAAGCCCTGCCATAAGCAGGAGGAAATTTAGGGCATTGTGTACTAGTGCAGCTACTGCAGGCGGTGGCCTTGAGCAATCACTCATATAAGCCCCAGCACTAAAGCCTTCTGTGGCAAGATGCTTCTGGTTCTGCCCTTCAGAGCTGCCCAAGGGGCAACACATACGGCCTCCCAGAAACTGCTCTGGATTCAAGACAGAAAGCCATATAGGCAAGTTAAAACTTTCCAGAGCCCTCTGATACAGGATGTAAGGTCTACGTGTTTCTGTTGCATCAGTCCAGACATGTCCATTGAGAGGATGTTCAGACACAGACAACAACAGCCAGACAAAGGGTAGGCATGGAGCGTAAACATAACTGAGACATATTACACCCACTGAAATAAACAGAGCATGTCTAAAGCTTCTCCCAGCTGCATTCAGCAGTCACTCACGGCTGGCTCTTGGTACAGAGGAAGTCAGTAGTCAGTGAAGTTTGCACAAATACCAAACAACTGTGACTGTACTCTCCTCTTCACTGTCATGGCACTGGAGAACCAAGCTCAGAGCAGATGTTCTTCCTGCTACTAGCCAGGTAAGGGGTATATGTACGGAGTGGCAGCTGCAGCACCAACTGGGGACAGACAGGGACAGCAACATCCCTAGCCATCACCGACCTCTCCCTTTGGCCAGTACCCTGGAGGAGCAGAGAGCCCAACGCTGCCTGGCATAGTTCTCAGCAGTCCTCCCTTCCATGTGCAGCTAACACTGAGGTTAACGTGCCATTGATACTAAACCAGATACACTGAATTCTTGAAGAATAGTGGGAGTACTGTAAAGGTATTAACTTTTTCTTTTTCTTTTTTTTTTTTTAAATTTAAAGCAATATCTTCATACCTACTTGTACGTTTTTTTAAAACTAACATACAAAAATGTTTTCTGCAAGTTGGCATGGAAAACAAAATTCATGAAGTTTGGGTTGAAAATGCATATTAATCGATCTTATCCTAGTTTCCTGAAACACAGCTGGATTCTTATATCATCTAAGCTACGCTGAACTCAGAATAAATGAAGATACTCTCACACAATCTGGCTTCACAAGTATCACCTTTCTTCAATAAGTTCAAACAATCAAGGGCAAAACTTAAATGTACTTGCTTGAAGCTTATCCACAATTTGTTGTTAAAAAAATAAAACCAAGCACATTTATTACAGAGTTAAAAAGAACAAAATCCTTTCACAAATTATCAAAAGCAGAATGACAGAGAAGTCTTTTAAATAAGGCAAGACAGGCAAATAGAATCTTAGAATCAGCTAGGTTGGAAAAGATCTTTAAGATCATCAAGTCCAGCCATTACCCAGGACTGACAATTCCACCACTAAACCATGTCACCAAGGGCCTCGTCTACATGGCTTGTGAACACTTTCAGGAACGGTGATTTCACCACTTCCCTGGGAAGCCTGTTCCAATACCTCACCACCCTCCTGGTGAATAAATTGTTCCCAATATCCAATCTAAACTTCCCCTGGCGCAGCTTGAGGCCGTTTCCTCTTGTCCTATCACTTGTTACTTGGGAGAAGAGACAGACCCTACCTCACTACAACCTCCTTTCAGGTACCTGTAGGAGCAATATGGTCCCCACTGAACCTTCCCTTCTCCAGATTAAACAATCCCAGTTCCCTCAGACATTCCTCATCAGGAATTCTCCAGGCCCTTCACCGGCTTTGTTGCCATTCTCTGGACCCGCTCCAGGACCTCAGTGTCTTCCTTGTACTGAAGCACAGGAATTGAGGTGCAGCCTCATCAGTGCCCAGTACTACAGGGGTTCGATCACTTCCCTGGCTGTGCTGACCACACTATTGCTGATACAGGCCAGGATGCTCTTGGCCTTCTTGCTACCTGGCCACAAGCTGGCTCATGTTCAGCTCTGTCAATCAGCACCACCAGGTCCTTTTCCCCTGAGCAGCTTTTCAGCCGCTCTTCCCCAAGCCTGGAGTGTTGCATGCGGTTGTTATGGCCCAAATGCAGGACCCAGCACTCTGTCTTGTTGAACCTCGTACCATTGGCCAGAGCTCATTGATCCAGCCTGTCCAGATCCCGCTGCAGAGCCTCCCTATCCTCCATCAGACCAACACTACCGCCCAGCTTGGTGTCATCCACAAATTTACTGAGGGTACGCTCAATCCCCTCACCCAGATCGTCAATGAAAATGTTAAACAACACTGGCCCTAACACCGAGCCCTGAGAGACACCACTACTGACTGCTTGACAATTAGATGTGACACCATTCACCACCACTCGTTGGGCTCAGCCATCCAGCCAGTTTCCCACCCAGTGAAGAGTACACCAATCCAGACTATCAGCAGCCAGTTTCTTCAGGAGGACACTGGAGACAGTGGGAGACAGTGTCAAATGCTTTACTATCCAAAGAGACAATGTCCGCAGCCTTTCCTTCATCAACCAGGCGGGTCACCTTCTCGCAGAAGGAGATCAGGTTGGTCAAGTAGGACCCACCCTCATTAACCCGTGGTTCATGACTGGGCCTGATCCATCCATTTTCCCACACATGCTTTATGATCTCACTTAGGATCATCTGCTCCACGTCCTTCCCCAGCACTGAGGTCAGGCTGACAGGCCAGTAGTTTCCAGGGTCTTTCTTCCTGCCTTTTTGTAGAGAGGCATCATGTTGGCCAGTCTCCATCCCCTGGGACTTTCCCACTAGACCAGGACTGCTGATAGATGATGGAGAGTGGATCAGCAAGCTCCTTGCCAGCTCCTTCAGCACTCGTGGGTGTAACCTATCTGGCCCCATAGATTTGTATGCCTAAGTGGAGCAGGAGATCATAATTTTGTAATACCAGTGCCCTTTAGGAAAGCATCCTCTATCAGCATAGCTAACACACATTTCTTGTACAGGAGAAGCAAACCCATCTCACAGTTCTGCGTATCTCCCATTACATCACCCCTGTAATGTAAAGATGATGCTGGAACTTACCGATGTACAAAAGATGCAGCTGCATTCCTGAAGAGTAGTCATCTTATCCAGGGAATATTCACAGAGACATAGTTTGCAAGTGAGCAGGGGCTCCAGAGCTAACTCTCCAGCTTCTGACTTGTCAGCTGTCATGATGTGAGGACAAGCTTCCCCAGCGGAGCCCATTCTCTCATTAATGGTCCACTCAGCCTGAAAAGAGAAATCAACAGCTGAAACATCCCACAAGACATGTAGTCACTTCTCATTGACATCTGAATTTACATCTCAGATCCGTAAAAGCATCTGCACATCCAAATATACGACTTCAGCATCTCAGTGCCAGTCTCACCTTCAGGTCATCAAAATTTACAGAGAAGGTGACTGAGAGCTCACCTCCCCAAAAGGTGTTGGGAACAGGGTTGGGTTCTCAGAGAACATTCACCTTGCTGGCACAAAGCACCTCAGTCAGGCCACTCATCAAATTAACAAACAAACAAACAAAATTCACACAGACGAGACACTACCTATGTTATATGCCACAGTACAGTATATGCACTATATGCAACTGAAAGAGAGTAGATTTAGATCAGATATTAGGAAGAAATTCTTCCCTGTGAGGGTAGTGAGGCACTGGCACAGGTTGCCCAGAGAAGCTGTGGTTGCCCCATCCCTGGCAGTATTCAAGGCCAGGTTGGATGGGACTTTGAGCAACCTGGTCTAGCGGAAGGTATCCCTGCCCATTGCAGGGGGCTGGAACTGGACGAGCTTTAAGGTCCCTTCCAACCCAAACCATTCTGTGATTCTATGATTCTATGGTAGTGGTCAGAGCACTTCATCAAAGTCCCAGAAGCAGGGATCTGACCTGGGACAATAAACTGTTTATTTAAAAAATAATCTGCATTGGTATGTGTATATATATCCCTCTGTCTTTATGAATAAGTTCCTGGCTTCACCAGAACACAAAGTGGGAGCTCTCCTGTGCAGCAGAAGGTGACAGCAAGCACAGATTCCCTCTTCCTAGGCAAGCACTTCAGACATTTAGCCTGTGGTATTGGTTGTGGGTACCATGAGCTTCACTTTCTCCATGACTTGTTACTAAGATAGTGAGCTAGCAGTCCATTGCAAGAGGGGTGGTGAAGGCATCTAAACCCAGGCAAGGGTTTTAATTGCATGTCCTACTTCATAGAGGGCTGAAGTTTAAATCCAAGTGCATGCGAGTATTTCATGTGCAGTCCTCCTTTCTGCATTGCTTTGATGATGCCAGAGAGCTGCCTGCTCAGGTGTGAAGCTTTTGTGCATATCAATTATTGACATGTAGCTCTTCTATCTATTTCATAAGGCTCTTGGGCATCTAACTGAGGGTTGTGAACCAGGAACTAAGTGCACTAGCCCTTTGACAGGGATAATCTCAGAATAGCTGTGCAGTACTTGGTACAGCAGTACTTGGGTAACAAATTTCTATCCTTTGAGAAGCAAGAAATAGAAACATCATGCTCATGCATAATGTTTTCTGGCCTAAGCATTTCAAAACACTGCACCATAACAACACAAGAAAGTCCCTCATTCTCACACAGACATTAAAGAGAGTATCCCCATGCTTAACATGGAAACAACAGAAAGCAAATTTGCAATTTTATTTGCGTCAAAATAGACAGTGGGGTTCTGTGCAGCATTTAAGGTACAGGAAAATCTACTCCCATCTCCAAGAAACTTGGCCCAACTTCCATAGAACTGCTTCTGAACACACTCAGCTGACGGCAAGAAAATCTTCATATACGTTTCTTACAAGCATAGACCTGGTGGCTGGCTGCACACAGCTGCTTGCAGCGGCGCCAAGTAAGAGTGTGGCTTTACTACATGTTAAAAGCTGCATCACGAATGGAGGCTGCATGAACATGAAAATAACCAAGACCCATCCATGTGCCGTGCCTGTCACATCTGACATCTCACGGGGCAAACAGGAGACTCGAGTCCTTTGGTCCACTTCTGCTTGCCTCCCTCGCAGTCCTGAGTGTCCTCATGGCAGGGCTGTCAGGTCACATTTGGCAGCATGTCACTGCTGCCATTCTGTAGCTCCCAGAGCAACGAGGCCAGCTGCAGCCAGTCAGTGCATACGTGACGTGCTGGCTTGCAGTACCTGCTGAATTGCTCCCCAGAGGGAGAAACAATGGCGTTCATGGAGCTGGAAGGGTCAATGCACAAGAACCTTGCCCCACAGCTCCCCTGATGCACAGCCAAGCCCCATCCCTTGGCCTGCATTGTAAGCTTTATGCCCTGTGTTCCTACAGCTCTGTGGGAAGATCCTTTCTCTTCAAAAGCCATGAAACCACAACAAATCTGTGTGGGAGCACACTTGTCCATTCTTAACTTTCACACCTTGCAGTTTCCTAGTGCAGCCTGACAGAGAAGCCATCAGATGTGTCCCTTGGGATGTCTTTTCTGCAAGCACCCAGTGTTGATACAAGAGTATTTTAAAGCCAAGATTCTGGCAACCAAATTTCTGGCTAAGAATTCAAAGCAAACTTTGTCTTTAATGGCTTGCTATCACTGGTTCCGTGCTTGGGTTATTGTTAGTGCAGTCCTGACCTGCTACCATGATGCCCCCACCATCTACTCCATAGGGCTGCAGAGCTGGAGCTCCAGCATGGCCAGAAGCCTTGGAAGGATGCCTCCCTCTGAGTCAGGAGTTACAATACTCTTTGTAATTACTGCAACGGGTGGGGAGGGGGGAGCAGTGAGTCACTGGAAATGCTATGGCAGATCAAGAACTACCTGTTATTTAAAGCTACATGCTAGGCATTACCTCATTATTTAGGAGGATTGCAGCACATTTACTCAGCTATGCTTTTCAACTGCAGCTGCATCTGTACAGGTAAGCTACTCACCCCTATTCCGCACAGACCTGGAATTTCTTCATTTCCATGGTAAAAGGTGGCAATGTTAAGAGGAGGGATGTACAAAAGAACAGGTGGGAATATTTTGGGCTGGATATAAAATGGATACAGTTATTTCTAAAGTCAGTGTTCTTTTTATAACCAAAAGGGTCATGACCCTGCATGCTTTTATTAAGGCAGCAGTAGAAAGATTCAGGTGTGTGACTGAAGTTTAGAGCCAGGGGCTAGCTTTAGATGGCTTAAATCTGGCACTCAGTGTGATAGCAAGAGAGTTTGCCACAGGGAAGAGTAGGCTCCTGATACACTGCTCTGCCCTAGAAGCAACCAGATGCCAGTGTGATGGTTGTGGGGACTTGTTATGATCTCCCAAGCACCCCTGTCCCTGAAGACTGCAGATTAAATTCAGCTTTGCTCCCTGTCCCTCCCTCACTCCTCCTCCCCTTGCATCAGGGTTCCAGAGCAGGGCTAAGGTTTCCCCCAAAACAGCCAGAGCACCCTGCGGGAATCTCCAGCAGACAACACCAAGCAAACCTGGCAGACCAGAGGATCCAGCTCCACACAGGCCAGGCTGGCCCACATCACCTCACCTCACCATGGCCTCACTAACCCCAGCAGGGTTCAGCAAGCAAAGCGAACGCAATGGGAGCCATGGACACAGCTCTGTGACCTGCCGGCACAGCTCCTGGAGCAGGCACCATGAATACAGAACAGAACAACAGAACTCCCTTCTATGCTCCCTAAGGGCAAGCTTGTCCACAACCAGTCCTCCAGGTGAGGCTGGCACAGGTAAAGCCATGCAGTTAGCACCTAAAACCCATCAAAGGGAGAGCAGATGCGTGGCCTTCTTTCCTGCTCTTTTTCCCAGAGCAACCCAACCAGCTGGTCATTGCTTCTGCCCACCAGAATTGTGACTTCTGCTACTGCTGCCCAAGGAAGCGTACAGGGGGAAGAGTTAATGGCTATGGAGAAAGGTAGCCCCATCCAGTGGCAGCTGGGCCCTAAAGAGAAATAAGGTCTGTGGAGAAAGTTCATTCCCATAATCAGATCAGATGGTGGGAATGATGAGGAGAGAAGCACACATAGAATCATAGAATCGTTAGGGTTGGAAAGAACCTTAAGATCATCTAGTTCCAGCTGCCCTGCCACGGGGAGGGATACCTCACACTAAACCATGTCACCCAAGGCTCTGTCCAACCTGGCCTTGAACACCACCAGGGATGGAGCATTCACAACCTCCCTGGGCAACCCATTCCAGTGCCTCACCACCCTAATAGGAAAGAATTTCTTCCTTATATCCAATCTAAACTTCCCCTGTTTAAGTTTTAACCCATTACACTTTGTCCTATCACTATAGTCCCTAATGAATTGTCCCTCTCCAGCATCCTTATAGGCCCCCTTCACATACTGGAAGGCTGCTATGAGGTCTCCATCTTCCTCTTGTTCTTACTCTCTATTCCTTCTCTTATTCTTTCACATCATTTCAAGATGCACTGTCCTCTCCTACGCTCTCAAGCCACCTCCTCAAGTTTACTACCCTGGCAGAACTGACTTTTCCACTTCTCTGCAGAGAAGCAATGAAGCTCCACCTCAGCTGCATACAAACACAAATGACCCATTTAGGATTGAATCCCAAGTAAAGCAAGAAATGTATCACTGAAACTGTAACACAGCACCTAATTCCTCATAAAAACCTCCACGGAACAGCAACACAGGCTCCATGAGATGCTGTGGAATAAGGATAAACACATCTCAAGGACACTCTAATTCAGAGGAACATGGTAGACTACACTGCACCAGGGCACACCCATGGCAAGGAAGGGTCAAACTGGGGCCAGTGAGTGTCAACAGTGAGGAACAGTAAAGATTCAAAGTTTTTACATACTTCTATTGGCCATGTACATGCTCACTCACGTGCAGAGCACACTCCTTTCACATTGCACAGAATTTCCAGGAAATGGGATGTATTTCCTCAAATTGTATGCTCCCCTCCTTATAAGGAAGAACTGTTGGGAACGCTCATCCTTCCATGACTCTGACACTAACAGTGTTGATGCCATAGGACAAGGCAGGACCAGGGAGTCTGAACAAATGTGAGATGTATGGGGTCAGCCTTAGGAGGGCATACACTGAACCCTCAGCCCAACCACAGCTTGGTGAGTACTCTGACCTGTCAACGTTTCCACTTTGTTCATCTGCGTGAGGACACTTCTGCTTTGTCTCTGGGGGGTGACAAAGCTTTGTGCTTTTACACAGCACTGAAATGTCTCAACACTATCCTTAAGCAAGAAAACAC